CTCTCTCTCTCTCTCTCTCTCTCTCTCTCTCTCTCTCTCTCTCTCTCTCTCTCTTTCTCTCTCTCTCTCTTTCTCTTCTCCCCTCGCTATCTAACCCTTCGCTACCAACCCTATTCCCCTAACGTGCTTAAACATGAGTTCTAGCACTGACACCACCTCAAACACGGAATTCTATGGTCCCGGAATTTCGGAAACGGATCCTTCCGTTAGTCAGGGGACCAACGATGACGAACCCAGCCTGCCTGTGGAAACCGAATTGGCGACGGCCATTACGGCACCGTTGCCAGTGGGAGGAATTGCATGCCCAGTGTGCGCAAGGAATAATAATCATATTCTGTTTCTAGACATCACACTCCTCTCAAAACACATAAGCCAACATCATCCGCAGTCGGACACGAAATGGGCATGTAGAAAATGTGGCAAACTATGGGAAAGACTACACCCCTGGAGATGTTACTTCGCCAAATGCAAGGGGAAACCAGCGGAGAGACAAGACGGCCATAAATGTGATTCCTGTGGGATGTTCTTTGCAACGACGGTAGGAAGATCGATGTATGAGCGGCATATGCACCCAGAAATAAGGAACACCAAACGAAGAATGGCAGCGGGGGCACCACGCCTCCCAGCGGGTAGAAGCACGACAGTATGGTCTGACCAGGAAATCGTGCAGCTAAAGGAACTCGAGACTCTATATTCTGACTCAAGATTCATTAACATTGAGATTCAGAAGCACATGACAAAGAAGACGACGAAGCAAATCAGGGATAAAAGAAGGGGTCTAAGACTACTGGAAGGCAGAAACAATGTTGCTGCCGGGAGTACAACCGTCGAAACTCTCCCTACCCACGAAATACCCGTAGAAGAACCGGATAGAGGAACACAAGAAGAAGAAAATATTAATAACGGAAACGACGCAGTGTCTCTCGTGGAAGACACACCGGTACCACAGGGGAATGAACTCCTCGCTATAGGCAACACCTGCAACTTACCGGACGAGGCGCCAAACAATGAAACAGGTGAAGCCAGAAATAACACAAACGAAGGGACCAACGAAGCGAGCAGTGAAGAAAGGTCACAATGGAAGGACATATTGTCCAACTGCATCATGGAGTCACTTTCCGGTCCCGAACTATACAAGAAGCTGCAACTGAAGCTTGTCGGAATTTGGAAGGACTCACGTAAGGACAGCTGCTCTTTAGGGCAAAGACTGGATGCCTTCATTGCCACCGACCTTGTCCCAACGCTACGGTGTGGGGCTAAGGACGGAGAAGAGAGAGACAACCAGGCAGCCCCATCGAGCAACCGGCCAACCACTAGCCGACGAAGGGGTACTCGGAAGAAGAACAACCGAAATAATCGGAAAAGAAGAGAGTATCAAAGAGCCCAAGACCTGTACGAACATTGCCCCAAGAGATTGGTAGAAGTCGTTATGAACGGAGATCAAACGGCCTTAGGAGGAAGACTTGAACCGCCCAAGAAAGAAGACATAATAAAATTATATAATGAATTATGGGGCATCGAGGGTCCGGCTGCTTCTGAATGTTCCAGATGCGGCAGGATTGAAACAGCGAGATCATTCAACACTAGTGACGTGTTCACCCCAGTAACAACGGAGGAAATATTGGCTAAGATGAAGAAGATCAGAGGGAATACCGCCACAGGACAGGATGGTATCAGGAAAAGAGACCTCGCTAGGCAAGGAGTGAGCGCGCTGCTGGCAACCCTGTTTAACATTCTGTTACGCGAAGGCCACTTTCCAGCACCATGGCTTACAAACAGGACGACGCTCATTCCCAAACTGGGAAAGGATGAAGCCGACGCTAAGAACTGGCGTCCAATAACCATCAGTTCATTATTAAATAGAATATATTGCTCATTGATAGACAAGCGACTGAGAGCTGTGATAAGACAGACTGTCCGGCAAAAGGGCTTCACCATGGATAACGGCTGCAAGGCAAACACTGCACTCTTCAAACATGCAGTTACGGCAATGAAAGCGGGAACGGGAGGAGTAGCTACAATCGTAGACATCTCAAAGGCGTTCGATACCGTTCCGCACTCTGCCATCAAGACTAGTTTATTAACAAAAGGACTACCGAACCAAGTAACCGAGTACATTACAAAAATGTATAATGGCTGCAGAA